CTCAAAGTCATGCACCTGGTAGGTGACTTAGGAACTTCACCTCAGCCAGGTATCTTCCCGGTTCAACCCTCCGAAGGGAGCCTGATTCCACTGTGGTACAAATGGGCTTTCTATTGGGGTGGGCATGCAGAAAGAGAGAGAAACAGATGGACAGTGCTCAGGAAGCAGATCCAACGTGATTCTGGACTGTTTGTCAGTCAATAGATGAGTTCACCCTACTGCTTGCATTAAGATATCTGCAAACTCTGCAGCCTAGATATTTACCCCCACCCCCACCCCACCACTACAAGCCACTAGAACCATGGAGCCCCTCTCCCTTGCTTTCCTTCCCTGCCTCTTAAGGTGGCCAACACCTGCTGCCTTTGTCAGTCTCTGATTCTAAGCCTCCAGGAACCGGTAAGATTTGCATCTTTAAAAACAAAATCCTGCCAGTGAGCCGTACAAGGTGTGAATATGCCACTTGTTTGTTGCAACGTTTCTGAATACATTTTAAATCATTTGAATCATGAGACTCCTCAAGCTCCTTCCTATTACATAATAAACGCCACTGAACGGTGTGACTCTAGTTCTCTTCCTTCCCCCCTCTCGCCCCCAGCCCACCACACACCTCAGCATCACCCCAGACTTTACCAGGGCCTCCCTGTTGATCTGTTCATCTTTCCAAGGACTTAAATGCAGGAATCAGAGTTCAAGTCCAGGATCCCCCACCATGGAGCAAATGCCTGTATCTCTCTAAGCTTTATTCCTTTATCTGCAATACCTTGATCGCCACAGCTAAGCCACGCAGCTCAAGGCTGCCTGACACAGACGGCTCTCACCATCTTTTTTTTTTTTAATTCCAGTATGTTTGGATAGCACAGGCTTGATGAGAATTAATTTGAAATCACAACTTTCAAATACATATTGTTCTCTTGAGTATTTGGCCCTCTGATGCAGGTTAAATTCGATGCTTAGCTAAATCAACCGGAGACAAAGTTAGATCCCTTTCTTAAGCCTCGAATTCAGAGGGTGAATAGCAAAACTACAAAGGTTACACTTTCTGGCTTCAATTCAGAAATGTCAACACATCAAACCCACCACGTTCAGACGCACAGAGACATTCCTTCACAGGCTATAAAGGGCACTTGGGTGTGGAGACATCACGCCAGCAGTCTCACAGCTCATTAAAGCCGGACTCAAAGTTCTGGCCTCAGCTACATAAACAATGCTTTCAAGATGGCACAATTGCCAAGAAACCACAACCTATGCGTGCCAGGTGGTGGTTTCTGAAGCGCTGGATGTGTAGATTCTTGCAGAATATGAGCAACCACAGACTACCACAGAGAACCTATGTCTTACTTTGAAAATGGTACAGAAGTAGAATGGGACAAGGGGCGTGAGTGTGTGTGTGTGTGTGTGTGTGTGTGTGCTTGTACTAGATTTGAACTCATAGCCTCCCACTGCCACTTGGCTGGTTCAAGGCTGGTGCTCTACCATTTGAGCCATACCTCCACATTGGGATTTTTGCTAGTTAGTTGGAAATAAAGAATTTCACAGATTTTTCCTACCAGGGCTGGCTTCAAACCATGATTCTCTGGATCTCTGCTTCCTCAGTAGCTAGGATTACAGGCATGAGCCACCAGGTGCCTGCCAAGGGGTTATATCTTTAGCTTGCAAGACTCTCAGGCCTTTCCTGATAAGCAGGTGCCTGGAAACGCTGAGGCTTTGGGTAATGAGGATAGGAATGGGGTCACATGTGTAGAAACAATGAGGGTCTGTTGACACTCAGAGGTAGGGCATGACATCCAAGCTAGGATGGAAGGGAGGATGGAGGAGGGAGGGAGTATGCAGATCAGGTCTGGGTGGGCTCAGGAGATAAGGGGAGGAGGTAGAGTAAGGAGTTCACACCTAGTGTTTCGGGAGAATTGATAGCAGATGGGTCCTGTGTTAGAACAACGGAAGGTCAGATTGATCCCTTTGGGGAAAATGATAGACCCTGTTAATGACTTGACATTCTGCTGCAGACTCAGTGTTCTGCGGTGGAGTGGGGCACTGGCGGCTTACGCCTATAAGCCTAGCTACTCAGGAGGCTGAGATGTGAGGCTTGTGATTTGAAGCCAGCCCAGGCAGGAAATCCCATGAGCCTCTTATCTCACCCTTGTGCAACTTGGGAGCAATGCTGGATGCACAATTGCAACATGAAGTAATGTCTGTGACCAGGATGGAAGCAGATCCCTAGTTGAGAATCCAGGGGTCTCTCTAAGAGGAGCGATGAGGGTCAGCAGCAAGCCACTAGGCCAGGAAGATGGGGTGCCCAAGAAAGGGTTCCAGACTTCCCAGGCAGAGGGGCTCTGTACCCACAGAGCTGGAAAGGCAAGAGATGGATGCATGTTGCAGGGAGTGAAATAAGCCTAGGTACGCTGGATCCACAGCTGGGCTGGAGGTGAGGGAGAGGGATCAGAACTCTTGGAAGGACTCCAAAACCACATACGTCCAGGGGCAATAGATATTATCTGGAGGTTCCAGAAAGCCACTGGGATCTTTGAAGCCAGAGCAAATACAGCCAGATGCACACTGCAAGGGACATTTCTCTCCACCTTACAATATAGCAAAGCAGGTGTCATTCAGCACAGCGTCTGGCCACACTCTGTCCCGCAGCTCCTTGCCACAAAAGAAGATGGTGCCGAGAATAACTCTTAAGACCCCGTGGAAAGTGGTCAGGGGTAGGGTTGGGGGGGGGACAGGATGGACTCAAGTTCCTCAGCTCCTAGATCATCAAACCACACCTGCTCCTTTCAGAGGTTTAGACACAATTAGGAATGTGGGACCCAACCCCATGTCTGCATTTGGAGATGGATGTCAGAGTCTTAGAGACCAACACTGCCCACAGGGCTAAAGGATGCTCTGCAGAGGGAGAGTCCTGGTCCTGGAGGCAGCCTTGGGGATCGGGATGTACGTTTGCCACAATAAGGACCACAAAATAGAACTGGCTGAGTCAGGCGCTGGTGACTCACGCCTGTTGTCCTAGCTGCTCAGGAGACTGAGATGGGCCTTTCCTGCCAGGCTGGCTTTGCGCTGTGATCTTCAGATCTCAGCCTCCAGAGTAGCTGGGATTATAGGCGTGAGCCACCAGCACGTGGCTCCACAGGCATTTTGACAGACCATCAGTGCAGTTAGACTGGCAGGAGAACAGAGGTGGCTGGGAGTGGGGAGGGGGTAAATATGACTTCTCCCTTCCTCACACACTTGATCAGAGTGTTGAACCTTTCTGAATCTCCATTTCTTCTTCCCAGAGCAGTGCCTCAGTGTGGGGTCCCCAAGAGAACTTCAATAGCTGCTCTATGTGAGCTCTTTAACGTGGCTCTGGGACATAATAAGTACTCAAGAAATTAATCATTAACCTATCCAAACAACTATCATTACCACCTTCTTCTTACCACAGAGACCCTCACAATGGCAATATTTATGTTCACTTGTCAGTCCCAGTGGGTGGTGTTACAACCCATAATAAAGTCACCAGTTTTGCACAGTACTTAATTGAACAAAGAGATATCCACCCAGCAGAATGGAAGTTCAGATTAATCCAGGTGCAAGATCATCTTCCCAGGCAGAGGACTCCCTGCCGGGTCTCCGGGGTGGCGGGGAGGGGGGGGGGGGAGGTGTGGCTTTTGTTCTTGAATTATATAAGTTCCATCAAAGTCACAGCAACTCTCCGCCTCTAGGAGGTCACTTCCCCCTGGACAGGGCTAGCTGAGGCACTGCTCTTGTTTATTTATGAAGTCAGGCCTAGCAGTGTGTGTGTGTGTGTGTGTGTGTGTGTGTGTGTGTGTATGTGTGTGTGTGTTTCAGAAGGAAACTTAAATGCTGTTTAGATAAACAACATGACCTTTATCAATGTCAGGATGAAGAGAAAAATGACACCAGGAAAGAAAAAGGGCAAAACTAGATTCTTTAGCCAGGTGCCAGTGGCTCATGCCTGCTATCCTAGCTACTCAGGAAGTTGAGATGTGAGGACCATGATTTCAAGCCAGCCCAGGCAGGAAAGCCCAGGAGTCTCTTGTTTCCAATGAAACACCAAAAAGCCAGAAGTGGAGGTGTAGCTCAAGTGGTAGAGCACTAGCCTTGAGTGAAAAGGGCTCAGAGATAGTGCCTGGGCCCTGAGGTCAAGCCACAGCAGAAAGAGAGAAAGAAAGAAGGAAAGAAAGAAAGAAAGAAAGAAAGAAAGAAAGAAAGAAAGAAAGAAAGAAAGAAAGAAAGAAAGAAAGAAAGGAAGGAAGGAAGGAAGGAAGGAAGGAAGGAAGGAAGGAAGAAAGAAAGAAAGAAAGAAAGAAAGAAAGAGGGAGAGAGAGAGGGAGAGAGGGAGGGAGGGAGGGAGGGAGGGAGAGAAGGGAGGAAGAGAGGGAGGGAGGAAGAAAGAGAAAAAGAGAAAGAAAGAAGGAGGGAAGGAAGGAAGGAAGAAAGAGGGAGGGAGAGAGAGAGGGAGGGAGGAAGGGAAGGGAGGGAGGGAAGGGAAAGAAAGAGAAAGATGAAGGAAGGAAGAAAGGACGGAAGGGAAGAAGGGAGAGAGGGAGGGAGGGAGGATGGACGGAAGGAAGGAAGGAAGGAAGGAAGGAAGGAAGGAAGGAAGGAAGGAAGGAAGGAAGGAAGGAAGGAGAAAAAGAGTAGGCAAGCAAACAAGCAAGCACGAAAGACTAGATTCTTTATCATAGTCCAAAAACAGATCTCAACTCTACTCCCCAAAGAGTCACCCCAGAAGCTGTCACTCTAAGAAAGTTACAATAACTGAATCAGTGCAACAATAATGGAATCATGACCATCTTTCCTATTCTTTACAGAAGGTGGGTGAATGGAAGTCTCCACGTCTATACCCAGACACATTCAGGCAGAGATATTGCTATCCACCCTTCAGAGTGCATTCAGAACACAAGCACCACAGGTATGAGGGAGGGGAAAGAGAGACGGAGAGAACATGTATTGTGTTTCTCTGAAGACCCAAGCACCAGAGAGAACTGTTTACTTACAGCTTTTGGTTTATACGGAGGCTGAATCTCTTTGCGTTCCAGTTTCTCCCAATCGATGTACCGGAAGAAAGCGTGGTCTTTGATGTCTCGTTCTCCCTCTGGGCCACAGCCCAGACGTTTGCCTGGGTGCTTGGTCATCAGCTTCAAGAGGAAGAAAGCAACAATATTGGATTCAGAGGAGGAAACGGGAGCTACACGGAAATTATTATCCTGGGGACTGAGGAGGGAAGCACAATGAAGAATCACAACAAATTCTTTGCCCTTTCAAAGGCTGGGCCAGAGCTCAGTTCCAATGCCATGTTACTCTGCCTAGAGCGAGGGTTCATCTTCCAGGGTTCATCACAAACCCCAGGCCTCATGTGGCCTGAACTGCGACTTAAAAAATATCATGAGGATGTATTTTGGAGTTTTGTGCCGTTATTGGTGCATCCAATGAAAACAACTCTGTGATCTTTCCAACTTTTCCTCCCCCCCCACGAGGGGAAAACCAAACCAGAAACAAACACAAAACAAACCCTGACATTTGACCAAGACAAAAGATTCATTTCTTCAGATACTATTTGCATTTCTCAGTGGAGCACTTGGGGAAATGACAAAACAGAAAGGGGGAAACAAAATATATTAGTCGAACGGACCCACGTTTCAAGTAATTACTTTCAGAAAGCTCATTAAAGAGTCAAAACCTAACCCAGCTCATCAACCTGAATCACACATTATACTCAACTCCTCCGAGGTATCTTCTGTGTTCTGCTTCAATTGCTTAATTATCAAAACTCTGCATCTTTGGGTCTCTGAGCCAGTACTAAATAATAGGCTGTATAGATGCTCCAGACAGACTGTTTCCTATAAATCTAAGGCAGCCTGAAAATATCTCAAGATTCCCATAACTGAATAGCGGGAAAGATGGAGGAACTGATGATTAAAGTGGAAAACAAGGAAAGAAAAAGAAAAAAACAAAAACAGGTGCTGGTGGCTGATACCTACAAGCCTGGCTACTTAGGAGTTTGAGATGTGAAGATCATAGTTCAAAGCCAGTTCAGGCAGGAAAGCCCATGAAACTCTTATCTCCAGTTAACCAGCAAAAAACCAGAATTGGAGATGTGGCTTAAGTGGTAGAGAACCAGTATTGAGCAAAAAAAATCTAAGGGACAATGCCCACGGTACCTAGATATTATTATTATATGTGATTCTTTGCAACAATACTCCGAGCCTTCAGTAGCTATTTCCCCCTCATTTTCTAGATAAAGAAACTGGGTCCAGAGAGGTCAAGTCATTTGCCTAAGATTACACAGCCAAGGAGCAGAGCAGAGCCAAGTTCTGAGTAGCTCAGCCAGACTCAGAATTCCCTTGGACTTTTACAGTTGAATCTCTGCTTCTTTTCATTCCAGTTTGCTTTTTAGTTTTGGATAGTCCTAAACTTCAGCCACTTGTACTTGCTGTGTAGATGCTCTACCACTGGAGCCACAATGCCCAGACCCTTTTTATTTTTTTGTAGGTCGTGGGTCTTGAACTTTGGGCTTGGGCGCTGTCCCTGAGCTCTTCAACTCAAGGCGAGTGCACTTAAGCCACAGTGCCACTTCTAGTTTTCTGGTGGTTAATTGGAGATAAGAGTCTCACGGACTTTCCTGCCTGGGCTGGCTTTGAACCGTGATCCTCAGATCTCAGCCTCCTGAGTAGCTAGGATTACAGGCTTGAGCCAACAGCGCTCAGTGCCCAGACTTTTTTTGCTTTTCACTCTTTTTTTTCCTAATATATTTTTTTAAATTATGCTGGAGCAAGCTTGGATCATGATCCCCCTATTTACACTTCCCAAAGAGCTGGGATTATAGGCAGTGAGCCACCACACCTGGCCCGCTTTTGTGTGTGTGTTTGTGTGTGTGTGTGTGTAATGGCAGAAAAGAAGACCTTTAATGAGAAAGAAAGATAAAGAATTCCATTTCAGTTGGGAAGGTGACTGTTTTCAAAAGCCCAGCTTGATTTCTATGTAAGCAGGGCTGGGGCCCAGGGAAGCTGTGGGGGGAGGGAAGACAGGAGGGGAGGGGGGGGGGGAAGGTAGGGGAAGGAGGGGAGGAAGTGCCAAGCCATGAAACGCCACCATGGAAACACACAGCACTCATTTGGACTTTCCTTCCGGTTCCACACTCTGCTCTGCAGTGCCTGAAGCCATGCAGACAGCTGGATGTAATCACTGTTCGGAGTTCTGATCTCTTCCCAGACGCAGCCCCCCGGGGCCTGCTGGCTACTTGGGAAAGAGGAGGCTGCGTCCGACTGCTTATTTGAGCATCAGCCCCTTCTTCAGCTGGAAGACTCAATCCTACCATGGACGCAGCCCACGTCACTCGGAAAAACTCCCCAATGCAACAGTGAAAGTCACCCCCAGTGAATCCTGAAGGGTACAGGTCCTCAGTTCATAGCAAACTGCTCTAGCAGGGAGACTGCTAATTGGAGCTGAAGCCGAATGCAACTGACCTGGAAAAATTCTCTCCTCCATGACCCACTTAAAACCCCCAGCTGTCCAGGCAGGGCTGGTGGGGAAAGGGGAAATAGACCCTGAGCATGCCCTGAGATCCTACTGCGTGCCTACCCTGAGCGTGCATCGAGCTCCTACTATGTGCCAGCACAATGAATGGAGCTTCTTTTGAGGTGGTGCCATTTTTCCAGTCTTGTCAACTCTGTTCCATGAGTCCTGTTATTCCATGTGCAGAGGCAAAGAAGCCTGGAAAGAAGCCCTGGAAAGTGGAGCTTGTGGCTCAGGTGGTAGAGCGCCAGCCTTGAGCAGAAAAAGCGCAAGGGACAGCATCCAGGTTTTAAGTTCAAGGCTCAGTACTAGTGCACACATGCACAAACCACCACCATCACAGCCACAAGAAACCGAAGTGCTTAAGAGCACGTAACACCAAGCAGAGAGAGGACTGGGATTTGCTCTCCCACAGATCTTGGAAAACTTCTATCACCACGAATGCAAACTCAAATGCCCAGAGGAGCCTGGCACAGGACTCGTAAAGTGGTAGTGCCCCTATCAGAAGTATTGAGAAGGGCCCTGGGGTGTGAGCTCTGATCTAAATGATTTCTAGCTATGAACTCATTTAATCATCAAACTGCCCCTGTGGGTTGTGCTATTGTGGGCTGCCATGTGCCAATCAGGTCAAACAACTTCTTTGTGATCATGCCTAGACATGGATTTTGAACCCACAGGGAATCTAGACAGAGAGGGCTTTTCTTTTTATTTATTTTTTTTTGAAATTAGAAACAGGCACGTAAATGGGGATAATGATGTCTAATCCTGCTTCCTGAAGCTCTGGAGGAATGACAGGCCCAAATTGCAAGACCAGAGTTTTCTGGAAAGCTGATTATCTATGGGAAGTCTGATCTTGAAATGTGGGAAATCATTAAAGAAATTAAGAGCTTGGTGCATAACCTCTGCCCCATCCGCTCTCAGTCCAATGTCTACTGTCATCGTGCTGGCCATACACACTCCATACCCTCATTTGTCTATGGGCTTTGCCAGGGCTCCCAAGGAACCCCCCCCCCATTTTCCATTCTGTTCTATTTTTCTCTGTGTCATACCCACAAAGAAAATATTGCAGCATGAGAAGATGAGGAGAATGTAGCCAAGAATTCAACACGTAGCCTACAAAATTAAGAAGCGTGAAGGAAGGAATGGGGAGGGGAGAAGGTGGGAGAGAAGACTGAAAGGTATGACATGGGTCAAGATGCACTGTATTGATGAACTGCTTCATTATATGGCAACTCCTTTGTACCACTAGAGAGGTTTTTTTCTTTCTTAAAGAAAGAGAAAAACAAAAGAAAATATTGCCAAGCAATTACCAAAAGATGCTAAGCACCAAAAACAATTCACCTGTGGCTTCCTGGGATAATCTTCATCCATTGTAGATGGTACCCAAAGCTTAGATGTGGGGACTTTCGGGGATATGACCAGTTTCAGGCTTGGAGGCTGGCATAGCTGGTTCCACCTGAGCCAAGACTCCCCCTGGATGCCTGATTGTTCCAGTTTCTTTTACCAGAACCAGCTTAGACTGGGGTCAGGAGGATTAGGGCTGGAGCCAGGCAGGGTACCCCAAAGATTGAGGCCCACAACCCTGGTTCTTCAGACACACAGGAAAAGTCCCAGTGTCTAGGCACAGCTAGGCTGTAACCCTGAGGTCCTTCTGCATATCTGGTCGGTGAGGAAGCCTTGGGAACAGCATCAGCCTTGGCCCATGTTCTCCCTGAGTCTCCTAGCATTGCTGCCCCATTTCCATCAGAGCTGAAAATTACTTGCTTTGGACAATCTGTTGAAAGGCAGTGGTTTTACAAGCCACAGGGGGAAGTTTTCAAAATCCAAGTGCCCAGATTTAATCTCTGAGGTTAAGGCTGAGGTCTGTGTGCTCAGAGAAATCTCTTCAGGTCATGTGAAAGCTATAAGAGGAGGCCTAACTATCCCCCTTTGGTCTAACACAAGTGCACCAGAAATATATGTAGTCCAAGACAAGATGCTGGACACAACCTTTACCTGTAAACAAGTGTCCTGATTTCTTTATTGGTACAATTTGCATGTTTACACTTTGGGTGTCCAACTCTGCCTCTCCTCCCAGCCAGTGTGTGTGTGTGTGTGTGTGTGTGTGTGTGTGAGTGCTGGAAGTGTAGGACAGATCAGAGCTCATCTCCAGAATCCTTTCAAAGTCAATCGCACGTGCTATTTTCTTAGCACAGAAGTTATACCTTCCTAGTAGCATTCACTAAACACACAGGCCGCAGAGAAGGAGACAGGAAGGCTTGAGTTCTGCTCCTTCCCAGGGGTCCTGGCTCTCTGGTCAAGTCTCTGCATTTCCCACCTCTTTCCTCTATGAAGGATCCTTGTGTGCGTTTGGGGGCTGGAGCCCAGCCAGCAGCAGGGTGCCTTTGTGGGAATGGGAAGCCATCTCTCCTTGGAGCGGGAAGCTGGCCTCTCATGTTGGCAGGCAGATGGCGCTCAGTCTTCCTCCCCAGCCCCTCCCCCATGGGGCACAACTTATACTCCTGTGATGGGCATGCCTGACCCTAGGTTTTAAGGGACTCACCCCTTTGCAGATGGCCACTGCTTCCTTGGACATGGACTTGGGGTAAGCCACATTGTGCTCCATGATGGACTGGAACAGCTCGTCTTCATCCTCCCCTTCAAAAGGTGCCTGTGGGGTGGACAGGAGGGTTGGAGAGGGAACAGTCTCTGCTGGCACTCCCTCCCCCTCTACGCCAGCTACTCCTTTTAACCATGGGTCCTCCTCTGTGAGCATGACCACACTCCATGGGGTCCCAAAAAGATGGACCGGGCCAGTATGCTGGTGACTCATGCTTACAATCCCAGCAACTCAGGAGGCTGAGAGCTGAGGAACAAAGCATGAAGCCAGCCCAGGCAAGAGAAGTCTGGGAGACTCCAATCTACAATTAACCACCCAAATAGCTGGAAGTGGAGTCATGACTCAAGTCGTAGAGCACCCACCTGAGTGGAAAAGCTAAGGGATAGAGTGAGGACCTGAGTTCAAGCCCCAGTATTGAGTACTGGTGTGAGTCCACACACACACACACACACACACACACACACACACACACACACGACTGACTTGAATAACCTTAAAGCTAGAACAATCACAAAAACTCAAGATTGATGAGCTATTTGGTGCCAAGTACTCACTTTCTTCTCAAGAAACTATGAGAATGGGGAAAGACTTTCCTTTTTTTTGCACCAATTACCTGTCCAGCCAGCATCTCATACAGCAGGACGCCGAAAGCCCACCAATCCACCGACTTCCCATAGGGCTGATAAGCAATGATCTGCAAAACAGAGCATCCAGTGTTGACAGACCCACAGCTCTGAGGGGTGAGAGACCAAACTCACAACTCTCATGGTGAGAATGGACAGAACTGGGGGAGGAGTAGGAAGGAGGGACAGAGAGAGTTTATTGCCTAAGATTACAATGATGAGCACAGATCCACATGCAAGAAGCCAGAGTCACCAAGAGCAGATAGGAAGGGCGGTGTATACCTGAGCTATTTCCTTACCTGAGTTTTCCAGGCAACCATCTGGATATGACACACTCCTTTTTAAGTTCTGATTATGCTGGATTGTTTTGTAAATTTTGGAACAATGTGTATGGCGTTTTATCTTTTTTTTTTAAAAAAGGCTATTTTTAATCCTCATGGTAGAGGTAGAACATTTGTACAAGTATGTGAAGATACTTAACCCTACTGAACTAGGTATTTAGAAATGGTTCCGATGATAAATTTGACGACCCGGTGTTATTTTAGTCACTATTAAAAATAAAAGAGAGTTTTCTTTTTTTTAAAGCACAATAATAAACATTTGTGACTGTTTAGGAATTAGAGAGAAGTTGAATGAATAAAAACTGAAAATCACCTGTAATCCTTTGTCACGAGAAAAATTTGTTCTATCTCCTTCCAGATTCTTTTCTAGAAGCACATATTACATGTTGTGTACCTGTGTTTTATATAAAAGCATAAGCAGTGAATGGATCTTTAATAAGGTATGCTTTCTTTATTTTTGTTTTGGCAGTATTGAACTCAGGGCCCCTACCTGCTAGGCAGGCATTCTAACACTTGGGTCACAATTCTTAGTCCTTTTTGCCTAAGTTTATTTTTCAGATAAGGTCTCGTGCTTTTGCTCAGGCTGGCCTCAAACTACAATCCTCCTATTGCTACCTTCTGTGTAGTTGATATTACAGGTATGCACCACCATACTTGGCCTTCACATATGCTATTTATTTAAGTTTTCCCTAGTAATGTTTGTTCAGTGAATTAGATATTTGGTTATCTGTCTATTTATATTATTTCCATAAGAAGTAGAATTAGTGGCTCAAAGAGCCACCTTACAATGGTAAGGGTTTTGATGATCAACTCATTGACTGTCCATCCTTTGGTACACTGTGATGAAAATCAGCTGTGTCACAGGGGTAAAACGGTGACTCAGCAGAGGTCAGGGGCTGAGGTTCAAGGATCAGGAGGTCAGAACTCTAGCTGTAGTCCCCAGGTCAATGACCTGGGGCCATCACTTAATATCTTTAAGTCTTGGGGCTTGGAATGAGGCTTAGTGGTAGAGTGCTTACTGAGCATGCACCAAGCCCTGGATTTGATTCCTCAGTACCACATGAACAGAAAAAGCCAGAAGTGATGCTGTGCTCAAGTGGTAGAGTACTAACCTTGAGCAAAAGAAGCTCAGGGACAGTGCCCAGGCCCTGAGTTCAAGCCCCAGGCAATAAAAAAGTCTCTCTTCTTCTTCAATGAGGTGAATTTACTGGACAGTTCTGTCAGGGATTTTGTAAGGAAGAATGGGAGATGTGCAGCCTCTCACAATGGAGCCCTCACAATGTTGGCTTTTTCTAGAATCTTCTCTACAGTTGCTGCTCAGTTTGTGCAGTAAAGAATTCTGGAGCAAACTTGGCTGCAAAAGAAATGCCTCTTTCTCAAATTTCATCCTGCAGCTCAGCGTCCACTATGATATTAAAAATGCAGAAATGTTGGTGAATAGACACAAAATTTTGGATAAGCGGAATCAATTCAAGAGGCTTGTGGTAGAAGATAGCAACTGCCGTTAACAACAATAAATTTTATGTGTAAAATGCATCACTATGCATGTAGCTTTTAAGAAAGTGTTCTCACCTCCAAAGGTCAATGAAGATGTGCATATGCGAATTAACTTGTTTTAGTCCGCCCACCTGTTTCCATATGTCAAAACATGTTGCGCACAATTGACATACATCACTGCCGTTCGTCAATTAAAAATAAGCAAACAAGGCTGGGTATCCGTGACTCATGCCCACAATCCTAGCTATTCAGGAGGCTGAGAGCTAAAGATCATGGTTCAAAGCCAGCCCGGAACAAGAAACTCTGCCAAGACTCTTATTTCTAACTACCAAAAAAAGCTAGAAGTAGAGCTGTTGCAATAGCAACTAGCCTTAAGTAAAAAAAAAAAAAAAAAAAGCTCAGGGACAGCACCTAATCCCTGACTTCAAGCCCAGGACCAGCACAAAAATAAACAAATAAGTAAGTAAATAAATAAATACCCATTGGCTCAGATGTATAATCCCAGCTATGCAGGAGGCTGAGATCTATGGATCATGGTTTGACCTTAACCCCAGGCAAGAAAGTCTGTGAGGCTCTTATCTCCAATAAACTACCAAAAAAGCCAGAAGTAAAGCTGTAGCTCAAGTGGCAGAGTGCTTGCCTTGAGCAAAAAGAAGCTCAGGAACAGCATCCTTGAGTTCAAGCCCCCCACACTGGCACAAAATAAATAAGAAACAACTAAGAAAAAAAAATGTGCTCCCAGAAGAAGTGTCTACAAGACACAAAAACTTTCAGTGAGAGCATTTCTCAGTGGAAGTGCATTCACACGTTTAAGGTAGTTCATGTCTTGACCTGCAGTAGATTTGGGATTTCTTCCCATCTAAGGCTCTGTGTGTGTGTGTATGTGTGCGCGCGCGTGCGCGTGAGTGTGATGGGGGGGGGAGTGCTCCCCCAAGATACCACACTCATGGGCCTTGGGGTCCAATATAAACTACTGGAAGCCATGGATCTGGTGCCCCCAGAGACTGCAGTTCAGTGGATCTAGGGTAACACTTGACATTTTCAAAGCTTCCTCTCTGATCTTATGTTTGGACTATCACACTCATGACATATTGAGGAGCCATGTTCTCCAGTGTTCTGGTATCCAAATTAGTTAACCCAACGATAACTGGCTAAAGGATGTTACACAGGGAAATCTCTGCAAGGCCTAGTCATGAGTTACTTTAAAAAAAAAGACTCAATCCTGGGGGCTGGGAAGATGGCTCAGTGGTAGAATGCTTGCCTTGCATGCATGAGGCCCTGGGTTCAATTCCTCAGCACCACATAAGCAGAAAAGGCTGGAAATGGCTCTGTGGCTCAAGTGGTAGAGTGCTCGCCTTGAGCTGAAGAGCTGAGGGGCAGTGCCCAGGCCCAGAGTTCAGGCCCCACAACTGACAAAAAAAGAAAAAGAAAGAAAGAAAAGAAAAGAAAAGAAAAAAAAGGCTCAACCCTGTAATTCTAGCTACTCAGGAGGCTGAGATCTGAGGAACAAGGTTCAAAGCCAGCCTAAGTAGGAAAATCCAAGAGACTCGTCTCCAATTAACTACTAAAAAGCTGAAAGCAAGCACTGTAGCTCAAAGAGCACTAGGCTTGGGCACAGAAATTCAGGGACAGCATCCAGTCCCTGAGTTCAAGCACCAGTACTGGCACACACACACACACACACACACACACACACACACACGCATGCACACACACAAACACAAAGGTTACCTTATTATGATTCAATTAATATGAGAATACAGTTACTTTGTAGAAAATATAAATAGTAGCCAGAGGAAATAAAATTCCCCTCTTATCTGCAATCTCCCAAGGTTTTTTTACACATGTCAAATTACACTTTTACATGCATAATTACATATTCAAAAAACACATAGAGCACATTCTGTGTATTACCATCTATATACACAGAGAGCATCATCTTGTATTTATCATTCTGTACAGGATTTTCCCCCTCATCACAACATGCTTAGAAGCTCTTCCTGTGTCCACATATATGTATCCCTTACCTTCATCCTGACTGAGGCATATTGTTTCCAGTCTGTCAGTAAAGATGGACTCAACTTTCTAAGGGCGGTAGAGTATTTCCTAACATGAATGTACACTTAGCAAGTCACTTCTTTATTGAGAGTCAATGAGATTGCCTCCTATATTTTTTCATTGTTGAAAGTAATGCTAAAATAAAGGTGAGAAGAAGGAATACTTCCTTCTCCCTAATATGTGTGTGTATACGTGTGTATGTGTGTGTGTGCATGCACACACATACACTAGATTCCTGGAGAAGTCACTGCTTTGGCATAAGAGTCTGGAGATCCTAAACTTTATGCCATACTGTTTAGTTTCATGGGAAATCTTTCACCATTGTTATATATCAGGTTACTGATGCTCTCTCTCTCTCTCTCTCTCTCTCTCACACACACACACACACACACACACACACACAAAACACAAAGAGGCCATTCTAGAACACTGTTTTCTATAACTACATTTATGTGTACAGTTCCTTTCCTAAAAAAAAAAAAAATCTACCACTAAGCTGCAACATGCTGTTTTTCCAAGCACTAGTTCAAAGGGAAAGGCAGAAGGGTCTTCTGGCTTTGAGCTGGGCCATATTGGCAAATATCCATCCATTGGCCATTCCTTTAAGAAGACAGGAAGGCAGTACAAATGAATTCCATGCTTGCAGCCAGGTGCTGGTGGTTCATACTGGTAATCTTAGCTGCTCAAGAAGCTGAGATCTAAGGATCATGGTTGAAAGCCAGCACGAGCAGAAAAGTCCATGAGACTCTGATCTCCAATTAATCAACAACATGCTGAAAGTGCAACTGGGGCTCGAGTGGTAGAGCCACCAGTGATGAGAGAAAAAGCTTCTGGGACAGTGGGCAGGCCCTGAGTTCAAGCTCCAGTGTTAAGGGGAAAAAAATTGTAGTCTTTCGTATTCATCTCCACCACAAAAAGAGAAATTCAGAGTTTGTCAGGATTCATCACAACCGCTACATACACAGAACCCAGTTCCTGTGTCATATGTCAGCCCTGGGAAATCTGCTCTCTGTCTCTCTCCCAACAAACACTTCGGTGTCATAATTAGGAGGTATCGTGTGGCTGGGAGCCATCACAGCTTGACAAAGAATGTTACTGATATGTGTTGGATGATGGTTCTTTTTTACTGATGTGCTGGGTGGTTCTTTTGAGTTTTATTTAAAAATGTCTCCCAACCCCCTCCCCTCCCCGCCCCCGATGTATTTTGGGCTTGAGCTTCTGGATGAGTGCTAAGTTAATTTGCATGTGTGATCTCAAAAGAACAACGTGGAGTATAAAAACGAGGACCAGGAGTCCCAGGTTGCTGGGTGCCACTGAGACCTTCCCTCCCCCAGTCCTCACCCAGTGCCAGCCAGGTGCAGGGTACTGAAGGCCTGTGTGTGTGTGTGCATGCGCGCGCGTGCATGCATGCGTGCGTGCGAATCCCCACCGGCACTCACCTCTGGGGCAATGTAGTCTGGAGTACCGCAGAAGGTCTTGGTGGTCACCCCCTCCCAGATATTCTCTTTACACATGCCGAAGTCGGCAATCTTGATGTGGCCCTCGGAATCCAGCATGACGTTGTCAAGTTTTAGGTCACTGGGGCAGACATGAGAATTCAGGGATTTCATTAAAACGCTGTTTAGTTCAAGCCAATCAGCTGCCACTCATACGTAACACCATCCACTTGTGCAAGGTGTTGCAGGGGCACGAAGGTCAGTGTAAATCAGCTTGTGCCCTTGGCATTTGGCCATCTGGCAAGGAGATTTAAAAGCATGGATGAAAGACATAGATCTCCAAGTGTGTCCTTTAGATAGATAGATAGATAGATAGATAGATAGATAGATAGATAGATAGATAGATGGATGGATGGATGGATGGATGGATGGATGGATGGATGGATGGGTGGATGGGTGGATGGGTGGATGGGTGGATGGGTGGATGGATGGATGGACGGATGGACAGATGAATGGATGGATACATATATACATACATGCATACATACATAGTCTTCTGCTCTGGCCCAGGCTAGACTCTAGCAGGGATCGCCCTACCTCCACTTCCTAAGCAGTTGGGATTACAGGCATGAGCCACCATGACCAGCCTGTGCTTTCACATTTTCTGCAAAGTCAACTGTGCCAAGTGCCTCACAGGGGCTCTGAGAAGAGAGAGATCCGCAGGAAGTGACGTGAAGGCCCAGCCTTCACAGAGGCCTCCTGGATCCCAAGACACTACCTCTGCAAGATGATCTCGTAGGAGTCTGTAGTGTAGACTTGTCACAAAACTATTATTTTTGCAATGGCTCTGAAGATCACGGAGAGAAACCTATTTAAACCCCCAGATGCTCTAAGCTTCCCTAAGTCATTTGATCTAGAAGGGACCCAGGAATTTCTATGGTTTCTTTCAGTCACAGGAGATTGTTGCACACCGATTATGTGGATGTGCAATTCCACCTTCTATGCAACACACAATTCCTCTAGCTAGGGCTACTGTCTATGAACAAGATAAAGTAAGGATACTACTTCTGTTGGTACTAAATTCTAGTGTAGGAGCAGAAGATAACAGGTATTTAAACCTGTAAGCAGGGATACCGTGGGTTCTGACAGGTGATATAACAAAAAATGGAGGTAATAATGGAGACTAGGCAGAGCAGTAGGAAAAACTCCTCTGTAGTAATGTTTGAGTTTAACCTAATACATACACAATATGCTCTCATTCACCTAACTCAACCTATCTAGTGGTGGTTGTTAGTTGGGTTTTTTTTTTGTTGCTTTTGTTTTGTTTTGTTTTGGGGGGCTTGAACTCTGGACCTGGGTGCTATCCCTGAGCTTCTTTTGCTCAGGTTAGCACTCTAGCACTTGAACCACAGTGCCACTTCCAGCTTTCTTGCTGGTTCGTTGGAGATAAGCATTTCATGGAATTTCCTGCCTGGGTTGGCTTCAAACCATGATTCTTAGCTCTCAGCCTCTTGAGCAGCTAGGATGACAGGTGTGAGCGGCTGGTGCCTGGATCCAGTGTTAATACTTTGTGTTTTGTAACCAGGGGACAGACGTACTCTAATCCTAACTCAAGATGAGGACATATCCTGGAGATAAAAATGTCCACTGCTCAACACAGAGCTCGTCTCTACACCATCATGACCGGGCTTCGGCTTTGTGGTGTCTGCCTAGTTCTAGCATCTTAGATGAAAGTATGTTATTACTTCTTTGAAAATCACCCTTCAGAGTTTAAAAGAATGAATACCAGGAAGCAGAAACCTGTGTTGTCAGGAGGGAAGGAGATGGAGTGGAGGGAGGGCAGATCAATGGAGAGAGAAAAGGCAGCTGAATACATATATTCAATGTGCATACGTGGAAATGGAACGGGGGGGGGTAGGGTGGGGAGAGATGGGGGAGAATGATGGAAGTGGCAACATTGGTCAAGAGGCATTGCACTCCTAAACTGCTATGTTGAATTGAAACCCCTTTGCACGACCACTTAAAGATAACTTGTAAATTTCTCAAAAGAAAATCCACCCTCTCCTATTTCCTGACCCATGCAAAGTGGGCAGTGCTGACTTTAACTTTTGACTCAAGGAGTGGTCACATGGCTTGTTCTAGCCAATGGGGAGACTTCAGTTTGCTGGGTGTACAAGAAGGTGTATGACCCCATCTGGGACCATGCAAACACTGCCATTTGTACAGAGACAAGAAAGCTAGCAAAGGTATTGCAAATAATGCAAGTCTCCAAGGGAAGGTGAGTCCCTGCCTCCACCCAGGACTGAAGTCAGATCAGTCCCTGGGCTTCCTAGTGATGGCAGCCAATATTTATCAGCCAGCTTTAACATACAGTAGTTTGAATTGAGTTTCTGACCTCAGTTCCCACTTAAAGGACACAACCTGAAAATAGATCCTGATTTGCCCATGGGAGGTCCACTTGCTCTGATTGGCACAGCCATATTCCCATTCCCGGTATGATTGACGCTGTCCATGGTACTTACTTCATAGCCAGCCTTTATGCTATGTGCAAGCCATGCTGCCCTTCCAATGCAGCTTGGAACTTAGAAATGCTTACGTAGCGACTTGCTTTAGCTAAGCCACTAGATCTCTTACAAGTGTGATTTAAATCAGCATGACATCTCCTCTCAGCTTGACCACATGCCCTGAGACAGGTAGGTGGACCAACTAGAGAAATGCTTTTTTTTAAAAAAAAAAAACAAAAACTGTGTCTAACATAAAAATGGAGATTCAGGTGTCAAGAGTGAGCAGGTCTTAAGAGCCAGAGGACCCCTGTTCTATTCATTTCCACATAACAGTGCTTAGATATTGTACTCCCTTCTTTTGTTCCACGGACTAAATCCTGGTTCTTTCTTCAAAGGGGAGCTGGAACAATTGTTTTCATTTGCAGAAATCCATTGGGGCAGAATCAGCACAAAATTACAGAGACAGTGATCAATAAGTCAGACATGACATTTGACAGGCAAGGTCATTCTCCTCTCCTCCAATGTGTCCAGACATGATCCTCAGAAAGAGGAACTCTAACTTAATTCCTTATCCTCGTTCCTTAACAACAGTCCAGTTAAATAAAGAAATAAATGGAGGAGGGGGTGATCTGTTAAGCTGTTAAAGAACTTACCATTTTGAAGGTAACTGATTTATCTTTTATTATGCAATTTTCTACAGTTTTCAAATTCAAAAATTCTAGGTGTGTGCGTGTGTGTGTGTGTGTGTGTGTGTGTGTGTGTGTGTGTGTGTGTGTGTGTGTGTGCTGGTCCTGAGGATTGAACTCAGAAGCATGGGCATTGCCATTGAGGTTTTATTCTCAGGCCAGTACTCTGCCACCTGAGTCACAATTCCACTTCTGTCAGAGATAAGAGTCTCATGAACTATCCTATCCAGGCTGGTTTTGAACTATGACCCTCAGCTCTCAGCTTCCTGAGTAGCTAGGGTTACAGGTATAAGCCACCAGCACCCAGTTCAGCTTTTTAAAAATTAATTTGTATTCATTTTTTGTTTATGTGGTACTAAGGAATCAAACCCAGGACCTCATGCAAGCTAGGCAAGCACTCTACCACTAAGTCACATTCCCAACTCAAGTTTTTTTTTCTTTTTGATAGCCAGCAACAGAAATATTTTAGTAACTTTGATCTGAAGGGAACCTATAAAAGGTCATTAGGCTGTTCATGAAGTCTCTGAGAAGCCTGGAGAGCTAAGCTGGGGGCTCTAGAAGTCAGGATAAGACTCACTGCAATGCAGAACTGGTCCACTGAAGATATCGCCAATGCTTTCATTATACACAAACATCACCTTTTGCTTCAGAAAGCCTTAATTCTGCACTCCAAGTTGCTGCCAAGAGCCACTTCTACTGCCTCTGGAAACTAGAGAATGCTGAAGACTATCGACACTCTCAGGTCCTCTGTAGGCCTAGCTCGGTCTCTAGCTTCTGGTTCAAGGTCACAGGTGAGATTGTCAGGGTTTCCAAGTCTGAATCATGAGCTTGCCCTTGCTACAGGGAGGCCATGCACATGAGCCTCGGGCTCATGACAGTAGGAAATGGGCTGTGTTCTCACATACAAAGAGCAGGCATTACTATGCTGACTGGCTTAAAATGCTGATAAAATAGTAAAAACCATATTAACTCACCAGGTACCAGTGGCTGACACCTGTAATCCTAGCTACTCAAGAGGCTGAGATCTGAGGACCATGGTTCGTAGTCAGCCCGGGCAGAAAGGGCAGAAAAGTTTCCATGAGACTCTTATCTTCAGCTGACCACTCAAAAACCAGAAGTAGCGCTGTGGCTCAAGTGATAGAGCACTAGCCTCAAGCACAAAGAGGCCCAAGGACAGCACTTAGGCCTTGAGTTCAAGCCCCACAACCAACCAAAAAAACCCAAACACACAAAAAATACACATATTACCAATAGAGGATGTAGCCATGCCCCAACCACTCATGCCTGTAATTCTAGATACTCAAGAGGCTGAGATCTGAGGATCATGGTTCAAAGCCAGCCCTGGCAGGAAAGTCTGACTCTTATCTCCAATTAACCAGAATGTCAGCCTTGCGTAAAAAAGCTCAGAGACAGCACCCAAGGGCCTGAGTTGAAGCTCCAGGATCGGCAATAATAATAGTAATAATAAAAGAATGAAAGAGGAAATTTGTAGATGGTCTAGGAAAAAGAAAACGAGTAGATGTGGTCTTAGCACCTAGTACGTGCACTATTGGGTTTTAGAATCTGGCTGGCCAATTTCCTAAGTCCTCAGTTCCCAGCTCTCTATCCAGTCCTCTGCTAGATGGGAAAGTTGCCCAGAATCCCCAACCCAGTTGACAAGAACTGTTCATTATTTCTTCTCTGGCTTCCTATCAAGGGGCTGGAGTTTCTTCTAACACACTCGTGGCGCTACACTTCATCTTCTCGAGAGGCGAGTTGGTTCTATTCTTCTGACTCTTTTGGAGTACTTCCTGCACAGAGCTGAGGACTTCATGTTGACCCTGATGTGAAAACCGTGTGGAGAGTTCAAGATTGCCCATGAGCCCCGCTGCACTGCCTGGTGAAGTGGCCACTAATGTTGTCGACCTGAATTTAAGGTCATGTCTTATGGAAGATAACAGATGCTTGTGGAGACCAGAATTCTTCTCACTCTGATCGTCGAGAGCCCCTGGGGATGTTGGTACATCCCCTTACAGGTTCCAACTTGTGTTCACATGGTATTGCACATTTACCGAGGGTAAACACGGGCAGGGTGACCACATTATTTAACATTGAAATTCTTCTTCTTTCTGCTTTTTGTTGGTGGTGGTGATGGCTGTGTTTGAACTCAGGGCCTGCTGCTGTCTCTGAGCTTTTCTGCTCAAGGCTAGCCTCAGCACCACTTCTGGTTTTCTGGTGGTTCTTTGGAGATAAGAGTCTCATGGACTTTCCTGCCCAGGCTGGCTTTGGATTGTGATCCTCAGATCTCAGCCTCCTGAGTAGCCTATGATCACAGGCATGAGCCACCACTAGAGTTGAAACTCCCTGAGGGAAAGAGTTTTCATCAGTTTTCTTCCTTGCTGGATTCCCTCTGCCCAGAAACTAAAGCTCCGGTGTGTCGATACTAAGACTTGAATTCAAGGCCTCTAGCCCTTGCTTGGCTTTTTCCGCTCAAGGCTGGCACACTCTACCACTTGTGCCACACCTTTACCTCCAGCTTTTTGCTAGTCAATTGAACATAAGGGTCTCATGGACTTTTTTTTTGTGTGCCTGGGTTGGCTTTAAACTTAATCCTCAGACTAGCTAGGATTACCGGCATGAGCCACCAGTGCTGGGCTTGTCCCAGTTGCTTGATAAATATTTGTCAAACTAATAAACGAAATGGGATTTATGGCTGTACGTGATCTTTTAAATAGACCCTCCCCCATAGCAAGGGCCCTATGGAAGCCTGCCAGGTTACATAATAAAAGTCAGCCCAAGCCCCCATGCCGAAGCCTTGTTGTGCCAGGAGATCTAGATGCCCTGCACTTGCTAATGAGTCGCAGCCTCCAGCTCAACAGTGTGCCTTGTCTGAAAGATAAAATGCGATGACTCATCCAGCTATGATCATACGCTTGCTCCTCCAAAAAACCCAGCAAATGCCAACTTCTGAACTTAATCCCGTCTTTCAGAGCAAGCCACTCTGAGATCTATTGCAGAAAGAAAAATGTTTCATAATAATAGGCACTCTCTGCCAGCCAAGAGTCTTGCTTTATTTCCCCCCAAATGTGGGGTCCACAGGCAAGAGAAAGAGGTGTGAAGACCCTAGAGGTAGGCTTCCTCTTCCTGGGGCCTGAGCAATCTCTCTGTTGGAGCTCCCCGCTCATCATTAGTGACACGGTCCATGGAGCGTTTCCCTGTCACCCTATAGAGCTGTCCAAACACTGCAAGGGCAGTGGGCAATGTTGCCTACAGGAACACATGTCCATGTGAATACTGGAAGATTCCTCCCCCAGTATGGATTCTAATTAAATAGAAAAAAAAATCCAAGAACAGTTGAAGAGCAAGGCAGGGGAGGGAGGAGCTGAGAGAGACGATGGAGAAAGAGGGGAGGAAAAAAAAAAGGTCTGCTTACTTACCGGTAAATGATCCCTTTGCTCTGTAAGAAGAACAGACCAATGGCAATTTCTGCAGCGTAGAATCTGAAATCATAATCAACAACAACTACACAAAAAGAAGTGATGGAGAAATTCAAGGTCATCTTACGCTTGGTACTCCTCCAGAGTTTAAGACAACAGTGAGCCAGGTGCCAGCCATTAACATCCCGCCATGGATGGTCAGCTACACTGCTCATAAAATGCTGACTGTGGGTGGGTGGATGGCAAGGAGTCTGCCCTGAGGCGTGGGGTGGGTAGGGACAGATAATTTGTGACCATAGCAAGCTACAATGTCTTAGGAAGGATGGTTAATCCTCTGGTGGAGGTTTACCATCCACTTAGAATCATCTTACTTGTTTTTTTGGTCTGAGAGCAGAACTCGAACTCAGTACCCGATGCTTTCACTCACTGGCTAGTGCTTGACCCACTGAGCCATACCTCCAACTCTCCTAGTGTCACCTGAAGCATCATCAGGTTTGATTCTAAGGATAACCCCACAACGTAAGTAACACTAGGACCTCTTGCTCTTCAAATGGGGAAAATGGAGGTTTAGAGGAACTCTTCAGAGAAGCTTGGTCAAATACATAGCAAATGAATGGCCCAGCCAGGATTGGAAATATGTCTGAAGTGTAAGCTCTTGGTGAAGGGCCAGCAAGAAAGAAAGAGATCCGGAGGGAACTAGAAAGCCTAGTTATACCACTAGGGGTTGGGTGGGAACTCTGTTTGTTCCCAACGCTATGTGTCACATGACAATGAAGTGAACCCTGTGGCCAGTCAGTAATAAGAGTCAACACTTACAGTCCCATTAGCATTGTTCCAAGAGATAGGAATGACCTGACTTGGAAACAGACACAGAAGGGCAAACTCTAGCTGACAGGTGGAAGAGAGGAGGTGGGGTGATCAGAACAGGAGGCAGTTAGGCTCTGGAATGGTGGGGTAGAAGGACCTAGACAAGCCCACGGGGATTTCTGGAAGGGGCAATAGATCTTAGCAAGTTTTTCAGGAGGGTGCTAATACTCGTTCCCATGGTTGACTGCATTCTTATTTATACACAGGATTCCAAGCAAGTAATGGGGGAGATTTTAAAAGAAGGAGGAGGAGGAGGAGGAGAAAGAGAAAAGGAGATGGAAGAGGAGGAGGAGGAGGAGGAGCAGGAGGAGGAGGAGGAGGAGGAGAAGAAGAAGAAGGAGAAGGAGAAGGAGGAGAAGAAGACGAAGAAGAAGAAGAAGAGGAAGAAGAAGAAGAAGGAGGAGGAGGAGGGGGAGGGGGAGGGGAAGGAGGACAAGAAGGAGATGACTGGTAGGAACAAAACAGACTTAGCAAGAGAAACACATTTCCAAAAGTCCTGGACTCAGTTTCCCATAGCAGGAACCCACAGACAAGTTTCACATCCTTCATCTCTCCCAAGTGAAGGCATAGGAAAGGAGAAGGGGCAGGGGCAGGAAACAGAACGTAAGCTAAACATGGGGGTCGGAATTCTCTGTCAGTCTTAGACTAGCTCTAAGCAAGTTTCCCAAGCCCTCTGGGGCTCAGTTTCCTTGTTTGTAAAGAGAGGCAGCAATATCTACTGCTGGCATTGTTCTCAGGATTCAATGTGACCATGTTTGTTGAGCTTAGGGCCTGGCACATGGTAAGTCCTCAACAAATACTAGCAAATGAACAAATAAAACCCTCAATAACATTCCCTGAGGAAGCTACAGACCTTCGTCAGGAACCAGGGACAAGAATTAGAGTGAAATAGGGTTAGAAGAGTGACTCAGTGGTAGAATAACTGCCTAGCAAGTCTCTCTCTCTCTCTCTCTCTCTCTTCCTCCCTCTCTCTTTCCCTCTCCCCCCCTTACACACACATACACAGAATTAGAGACAAGAAACAAGCAGAAGTGAAGCTGAGTCTTCATGTTCTCAGCTGGTGTCCAGGAAAAGCAAGAAGCATTTCATATCCAGAAGAAATTTTTTTTTCCCTCCTGGACAAACATTTCTCACAAAGAAGAAGCCTCAGATATATTTAAAAGTCCTTCCTTCTTTGGCTAAGAAAAAATTTTTTTAAAGAAAAAAAGAACACTCAAAGAAAATAACAAGCCACCCATGTAGCCCTCCAAAAAGCAGAGTGTGAATTCTCCCTTACACAGCATGGGGTTCCTTGAACCGGCCGACTTGTTGGATGTGGTACATGAGGTCGCCCCCGTTCACGTACTCCATCACAAAGTACAGGCGGTCCTGAAGAAAGGGAGAGAAAGAGAGCAAACAGCAAAATCAGTAGCCTGCAGAGTCCTGGGTTCGAAACAGAGAATAGCTGGGATCAATAATGAAATTCATCCAGGTTCTGACACCTGTCTAATGTGTCAGGCCCAGTGTTACATAAACCGCCACACCACCTGGACAATGTGACAGAGTATGGGAGGATCACACATCACGTTTTTAATGAATAACTACAAGCTGAAGTTCATTTGTATGCAGAAATGTAAATGAGCTCATTATTCTTCATCGGTATTATTTAAGACCAGGGTTGGGAATCATTGGAAAATTAATGATATTACAGGTCATCTGGAGCTATGGAGGTATAATCTCAGTGTTGGCCCTCTCGTGGTAGTTCACCTTCTGATATTTGTGCCTTGGTGGAGGACCTTACCATCATGAATAGAATCGGCTGTGTATGATACATAGATCTAGGGGACAAGGTCATAAAAGATCTCCCATCTTCCACCCTGCTCCTTCTAGGATCACACACTCCGAGGGAAGCCAGCTACCATGCTGTAAGGAAGCTCAAGCAGCACTGTGGAGAGGCCCATGTGGCAAAGAGCTGAAATTTCCTGCCAATGGCCATCCCTAGCCACTCAAGTGAACCACCCTGGAAAACAATCCTCCATCTAGTCAACCTTCAAAACTTGACTGCTGGTAACCTGAATCTTCAAGGAGGATATCAACCAGTCCCCCAAATATCTGACCCACAGAAACTGAGATAATCATATTTATTGTTCCAGTGTGTGTGTGTGTGTGTGTGTGTGTGTGTGTGTGTGTGTGTGTGTGTGTGTGTGTATGCGTGTGTGTGTGTTTTAAAGACCCTGAGCACCACTGGTTTGTGCCTGTAATCTCAGCTACTCCAGAGGCTGGGATGTGAGGATCACAGTTCGAATCTAGCCCGGGCAGGAAAATCCATGAGACAATTATCTCCAATTAACCACCCAAAAGCCATTAAGTGGAGCTGTGGCTCAAATGGTAACACAGTAGCCTCAAGCAGTGGGAGAAAAAAAGCTTAGGACAAGGCTCTGGTGGAATTCAAGCTTCAGTATTGTCACAAAACAAACAAATAAACCAAAATCCACAAAAGATGACATAAATATCAGAGAGCTACGAGTTCTATGCCATGGTCCCTGGTGTGAGGGTCTGCCTCACCTCAGGCCCAAAGACATGGGGCCAAGTGGCCATGAACTGAAATCTCTACAGCCATGAGCCCCAAAGAAACCTTCCTATTCTTTTAAGTTGTTTTCCTCAGGGATTTTGTAACAGTGACAGCAAGCTGACCACACAAGAATATATTCCTACAGCGCCAGAAAGAGAAACCTGTACACCATTCAGGGAATGTTTTATTTTTTGAAGACTTCTGAGGATTATGCTGAACTCCTTCACATCAGGGGCTGTGTCCCCCTCCTCGATTGTATAAGCCTGTTCCTGGCACATAGAGGACAAAAGAGTACAGGCTTCCATGTCCAAGAAGCTTGTCTTCAGAACGCAGCCCTGCCTGCTGAGAGCAGGATGTTTCTAGGGAGATCACGTAGCATCAGGAAAGGTAACACCATCACCATAGCCGTGGAGATGAAATGAGACAGAGGCCTGCTATGGCCCTTGGAAAGCATCTTCCTACCATTTACCTTTTCTCTTCCCATCAAAGCATGTATGCTAAATGACTAACTTCACCTCTCCTTGGAGACTGGAGTCTCCCAGTGTGGGTTCCCTCACCTCTTCATGCCGTTCTCCTTTGGCTCATGGCGGCAGGGTCTGCAGGAACTATTTGCAGTTTCTAAAGTCCCCCTCATGTTCTCAGCTTTAAAAAAAAAAATAAATAAACCCACTTCCTCTAACCCACCTGATCTAAATTAGGTCTGCGTGCTATATTCTTTCATGAGCCTCTGTGGGCTCGTTTCCTCGGCTCACATTATAATTTGTAATGATATGTTTAATGGAATGTCAGTTTATTCCATCTATTTATGCACTCATTAATTAAATTTAAAAAAAAATATTCACTGAGCCCTGCTGGGTACCAGGTGAGAAGGTGCTAGGGATAAAGTAATGAACAAAGTCAATTTAGAAAATCCTGTCTTTACCTTTCATTTTAGCAAGAGTGATATCAAGATAAAACTAGACATAACAAATGGATTATATAGGGTATTTAAGGTAATAAGTGCACGGAAAGAAACAAAGAAGTTAAGGGTTAGATGAGATGGGAGAAAACACATCCAATATATATTTTTAAAAAAGCATTCAGGATAAACCCTGCCCAGCAAGGAACTAAAGGAGGTGGTGAAGGCAGTTATGTGAATACTGAGAGCAAAAGCCTGTGAGGTGGAGGAAACAGTCAGTGCAAAGGTCCTGAGGCTAGGAAACAGCTGATCTGCTTTAGGAACCAGTGAGACTGGAAAGACAGAAGGAGAACGAGTAGGAAGAGGAGATCAGAACCCTGCTAGGGACTCAGGTTTTATAAGACATCACAGGCTAAGGCAAAGGCTAGTTTTTAACTCTGCAAGAGATGGTCTAGCACCAGATATGGCTGAAAATCCCACAAAGCCAGGGACCAGATAAAATTTGTTTGCCACTATGGACACAGAACTTGCCACTGTTCCTGGCCAGAGTAAGCTATATATGTCATTAACTGAATGAATGAATTAGTGATCCCAGAGTTTGCTTTGGGGGTGGGATCCAAAGCCCCAGTCATGATTCTGAAGGCTGGAAGATGACCCCTGACCCCACAGTTTCCAGCTGGGTGGGCTTGGACTAATCTCCTTCTAGAGCTCAGCTTTGTCGCTTCTTGATGATGTAGCCAATCATCTCCAAGAGAGAGGCCTACGTGCCCAAGTAAGACCTCACAGTGCTGCAAATTACACATGGAATGATGATGAGATACCCAGGCAGCATCATGGATGGTGTAAGCCAGATCCTTCCTTTGCAAACTCAATTTGGATCTCCCTTTAACTGGCCATCAAGTCAACTTGGTGGGCCAGCTTTTAAAAGAGAAAAAGGGAAGAAAAGAAAATGGAATAGGAATGACCAGATCCATCACACAAAGCATCACCAAATATGATTTTGTGGAATGTGGCTCGGGTGATGTTGATGTGTTGGTATGGCTGCGAAAGTTGGTTGGGTATTAAAAGTTGCAGAGAGCCCTGGGCCTGGGTGACTCATGCCTGTAATCCTAGCTACTCAGAAGCATCAAGTATTTCATGTTTTTTCCCATGGGGACAAGTGTCATTCTCCCATATTTTTTGGGGGGGTCCGGTTGTGGGGCCTGAACTATGGGCCTGGGCACTGTCCCTCAGCTCTTCAGCTCAAGGCTAGTGCTCTACCACTTGAGCCATAGCACCACTTCCGGCTTTTTTCTTTTTGCTTATGTGGTGCTGAGGAATCAAACCCAGGGCCTCATGCATGCAAGGCAAGCGCTCTACCACTGAGCCACCTTCCCAGCCCATCATTCTCCCATCTTAAGACGAGCCATGTCAGGGTCAGAAAGGCTGAGCCAGTTGCTTGTGGTATTTCAACCGGCAAGCAGCCTGTCCAGGATTTAAACCTAGGCAAATTAATTCTACACTGGCAATGTCTCATGATGCATCTGCAGTGAGTGAATTTGCCACACCAGGCTCTGATCTAGATGCCATGTGTATGGATACCTGCCTGAGCTGTGTCTAGACCCTAATTCAAGACCCAGGACTGGCACCAAAAAAAAAGAAAAGACAGAATGTTCTGAGCCAGAGGTAAACTGCTGCAACACAGCTCCAAATAAGGAGAAGGAAAGTCAAGATCCATCCACCCACCCATCCATCCATCCATCCATCCACCCACCCATCCATCCATCCATCCACCTGTCTATCTGTCCACTGATCCATCCATTCATCCATCCACCCACCCACCTACCCACCCACCCACCCATCCATCCATCCATCATCCACCCATCCATCTACCCATCCACCCATTCATCCACTCATTTATCCACCCACCCACCCACCCACCCATCCATCCATCTATTCACCCAACCATCCATCCATCCATCCATCCATCCATCCATCCATCTACCCATCTAGGCAGAGCTAGCAAGTTACAAAGAAAGTCAAATTCACCTGCTATTTATTGAAATGGCTTTTCTTTCTCAGACCAATTCTACACCATCCTTTCATCATCCCTAATGAGAGGGGAGACAGAAGTCTCATGATCACATGATGAAATCTGTGTTTAGAGCGCAAGGCAGCTGAAATCTGCACAAAGGTCCTGCACCCATTCGTGGCAGAATGCAGTCAGCCAAAATTACTGACACCCAGGCCCTTGTTCTTTGGGTGGTTTACTTTTTGTTTGTTTTTTTTGGTTGTTTTTTTTTTTTTTGACAGAAAACAAACCCCAAAATAGCATCTGTCTTTGCTGCACATTGAAGAGAACCAAAACACTTGCTTTTAAAAATTATTTTTAAAACTAGCAGATGGCATTGGCCACCGAGAGAGAAGTGAGGGAGAGATTTCACTTGCTTGATTTCTGCTAGGATTCACTCAGCTTGTCCTCCAAACTCAGGAGCCGGAATCCCAGCATCAGAGACGGTTGCCCTTCAGGTGAGTTGTGTGGTCCATCTCCATTGCTAACCATATGCAGGGAAAATCTGAGACATGTCAGCCGTGAACTGTACTGTGCTAGCTTTGGTCCACCAGGGCCTCAGCTATAAAATGGTATGGCTAGCTAGCACCTGTGGCTCATGCTTGTAATCCTAGCTAATCAGGAAGCTGAGATCTGAAGATCACGGTTCAAAGCCAGCAAGGGGAAGGTAAGTCTGTGAGACTCTTATCTCCAATTAAACACCAAGGGAAAAAAAATCTGTCAGAATTGGAGTTGTGGCTCAAGTGGTAGAGTGGCAGGCAGCCTTGAGCAGAAAGGTCAGGGACCGTGCCTAGGCCCTGAGTTCAAGCCTCAGGACCAGCAAAAGAAAAAAAAGTATGACTGGCTTCTTACTGTTCTTTCTCTGGATA